AAGGAAAGGGCTTTTTAGCCCGGCCTGAATAAGTCTGCTCATTTGGGGGGCTTGAGAAATATTGATAGGGCCGGCCCGTGGGCCAATAAAAATTAATTTAAAAATATTATATAATATTAAAATTTAAAAATAAAGAGAGTCCAAATCAAAACAATTAGGTTAATATTTCTATTTAGATATTTATACTTTTAGTTGAAAAAAAACTTAATAAATATTAAGGAAAATGCACAAGTACCCCCCTAGACTATGACTAAAATTCCAGAGACACACCTTAACTAAACTAAGGTCATATTACCCCCTGAACTTTTTTTTTTAATTTTATACACCTTTTGTCTTATGTGGCACTCTATGTGACTCCTCGCAATTGAGGCGCGTCAGAGATATTTGGATGCCACGTAGGCCAAAGAGGTACACAAAATTACAAAAAAAAAAAAGCTTAAGGGGGTAATACGACCTTAGTAAGGTGTGTCTTTTGGATTTCGGTCATAGTCTAGGGGGTACTTGTGCATTTTACCTAAATATTATAAAGATAATTTTATTTGTGAATTTGATTAACAAGTAGTGACAAGGTCTCATTTGTTTACATTAAAATTAAGACGTTTGAATTTGAATACACATTAAAATATTAAGATGTGCATTAAGATCTAGATGTGTAAATCTGAATAAACATCTGAATATTAAAATATTGTCTCTGAATCTGAACACTAAATTATTGGGATAGTTTGTTTTCAATATTTGAATGCACATATGAAATTAAATATTATATCAATAAAATATTATAAAAACCTTGTTAGTAAAATAGTTTTTTTCATATAAAATAATATTTTGAACATTTTTACCGTAACAAGGTAATATAATTTATCTTTTAAGAACTCAACATCAAGTTACATCATTAATATGACTATTTTTTGCACTCAAATACTTTAAGAATCTAATATAATGCAATTTAAAATAGTTTATATAGAGTAGTAAATATATAGTTTAGGAAAATATTTTATTTTATTTTATTTTGTTATAGAAATTTTTTATTGTTATCGATCAAATAACTATTACTTTCTTATTTTTTGAAAACCGTGCTAAATATTATATCATGGAAGTGCTTATCAATTCAAACGTATTGATTAATTTAGAAAGTAAAAGATGTATATTAAGTTAATCTGAATAAAGAAAATTATAATGGCAAGCATGTAATTAATATTAATTAAATAAGAAAACAATTTTTATGAGTTGTCATGATTTAGTTGAATTAAGATAGGATGGTCTTATTTTTTAGTCTGAATAGTGTTAAGGGTGTGTTACAGGTCTGATTCAGTCAGATATATCCAAAACCTTTAAGAGGCTTATAAGAAAATAAAATAAACGAACTTAATGAATTGAATCTGAATAATTAAGATCCAGTTCTTAAAAACAAACACACTCAATGAGGCAAATCTGAATGATTAAGATTCAAACCCCATTAAGTGCAAACAAATGAGGTCTAACATAATGTAATATTGTTTTGTTGATATTTATGATAATATTTTTAAATTATAATTTATAATTTAGTTTAATATTTATAAAAAGAATAATTTTTTAAAAAGTGGGCTGGCCCGGCAAGCCTGTAGCCCACGTACTTGTGTGCTGGGCCGACCATTTTCTGGCCCACACAAAAAATGGGCTAACCTGGCCTGGCTTGTAAAATGTCAAAGCATGTATGGGTTAGTCCGGATGGGGTTGGCTAACCCATATTGACAGCTCTATTTTTCAAGGGTGTCCAAAATATGTTATTTAACCTTTTATATTATTATTTTACTTATAACTAGGGTGTAATTTTCTAACAGAGGGTGTCCACTCCAAAGGGTAGCTACGCCCCTGGGCTCGACCAGACAAAGTTTTGGGGCCAAGCAGTCAGTCGATTAAATTTTACATTAAATTTGATGTCAGCATTATTTTCGATGTAAACTCCAAATCACTGCATCAAATTTTACATCAAAAAAGAATATTTTTCTCTCTCTTAATTGTTATATTGTTATTTCTTATTTCGTCTATGTTTTCTTATTTCATGAAACAAATTCTTTCGAAAACATTGGCCATATATTATTCATGGTCAATATCAATTAATACTTTATTGAATGTTTATTATTTTCAGTTATTTTTAAGTACATTGTATTATTTGTTTAAAAACTTATATATTCACATTTTTAATTTTTGTGAAGGTTACTTGTAGTCATATCTAATTATAATTTATAGTAGAATTAACATAAATTAAAAAAATCATATATAGACAAATTTAATTTATAAAAAAAGCTAAATTTAATATCTACTTAATATTATAAAAATATTACATAAAAGATAATTAAATATAAAAAGATTTAATTAAAACATATAATTTATATAATGTTTAATTAAAAGTTTGTATAATGAAATAATTTTAAATACTAAAAAAGTGAAATTGTGTGATGAATAGTGTTACACACACCAAATTTGGTATGGGTTGGAGCTCAAAAACTCCAAATTTTACACCAAATAAGAATTTGGTGTAAAATTTGGTGTTGAGTTAAAGACAGTCTAATACACGTACATAAAAAAAACCATTAAGATTTTGAAATCATATTTTATGACACCGAAATTTTTTTAAAAAGATACAACATTTACGAAAATGCAATGAATGTTGGTCATTAATCTTGTGAGGTCCGATCCGACTAATTTTGGGGGCTAATGGAGTCGGTCGACTAATTTCCAAGAAATTAGTGTAGTAACTCATTCATAAAATCTTGAATTTCTATTTCATAATACCAAAAAGCTAAAAGTAAGAGACGTCAATAATAAAAATGCGATGGGTATGGCTCACCAGACCTGACCTAGCCAAATTTGTGGACCAACAAAGTCTATCAACTTACTTTAAAATAAGAATAAGTCGATTACTAAAGAAACACCGGACAAGGGCCTAAAATATCCCTTAAAGTATTGAAAATGGTATAAAATTACCCTTCATCGACCTATTGGCTCTAAAATGCTCTTTTCATCCACCTATTGGCTCCAAATTACCCTTGTCATCCACCTTTGGGTTCAAAATTGACCATTTTTTAATTGTTTTAAAATTAAACTCTTTAAATATTTTTTAAAATACTAGATACTAGTCACCAAGATTGTGAGGCTCGATCTCAACCAGTTTGGCGCTAGAAGAGTCGGAGACTAATTTTCAAAACATTTGTAGACTAACACAAAAAAAAACTCTTAAATATTAAATTTCTATTCCGTGGCACCTTAATGAAATCATTTCGAGTCTTTTGATATATAATTTGCTTGGTATAATTAATATTTTTAGTACATCAAATTTTAAATTAAAAAACGAAAAAGGATGAAGAAGAAGGGCGAAAGAACCCCAAATTATTTGAAACATATCGTTTGCTTATCAACGGTGAAAAATGATGTTTAGTTGATTGTTCTTTAATCTCCACATATTTTATTTTTGATGAAATTAGTAGACGAATACTTATATTTTGCCTCACTTGACTGTTTTGTGTTATTTTTAAGTATTTATATATTTGATTAAACAAAATGTATAATTATACATTTTAACTTTTGATTATGAGATATAAATATTTTTAATTTTAGTTGGCCTCGTAAATACACTCATCCAATCCAAAAAGCCTAATTGCACTTTTTTCAAAATAAGAGATTAACTTTACGAATAAATTGTGATATGAATACTTTTTGTCAAGTAAATACGTCATGTTCATTATTATATGGACATCCATTTTTCCAGCTAAGTCAGGTGGGATAAGCAAACTGATGAGGTAATTTTTAAATTATTCTTTCTTTAATTTAAGTTAACGAGAAGAGTAATCATGCATTAGATGATATAATATACCTCCAAAGGATTGACTCGTTCAATTCAAAATTATTAACTTTCATGGTTATCGATGGGCTGTATGAGTTTTCACTATGTCTATTCATGGTTCAAAGTGAATAAATTCTTTTCAATTAAGATTTTAACCTAATCTAAATCAAAGTAGTTAAAATTATTACTATTTTTAGAAATAACAGTACAAAAGGAGGATGAAGAATAGATTAAAAGAAAATGTAGACGAGCAACAATCGAATCGTCAACCGGAAAAAATGACGATCGAAACGATATCTCGCCGATATCACTTTGCCTCCTATAAATTCATATAAAAATGACGAAACACACCAGAAAAATTGTTCATCATTCGATCAGAAGGAGGTATCAAACATATATACAAAGATCTTATTCCTATTTAGCAAAAATAGAAAAACTAATTTCATATAATTATTTTGAGAAAAAAAAACACAAAAGAATAGGTTAAAATTAGCTTCTGTATGTGATTAGAGAACAGAAGCTACCATTAGAAACCTGAGAACCGCCATTTACTCTAGAGAAGAATGACTATCACTGCAGCTATTAAGGCCATTTATATAGATAGCCAAACCCTAGAAAAAACTTCAGAAATGGGCCTGGTTTTGGCCCAGTTAGGGATTTATGGGCTTTGGATAAGTGAGAGTTTATAAGTTTAGCCCAATTTAAAATCAGCCTAAAACTAAAACAGGAAATAAGAGCAAATAACTCCTCAACTGGCCCAATTGACCCCCCGTAGCCCAATCTCTGCCGGAAAAGTGGAAGAAACGCCATCTCTTCTCCGTCGGAGTTTTCCATCATTGTGCCCTCTCGAATTTTCAGATTCAGTTGAACTCAAAAGTAGTATCATCCTACATTGAGTTCCTCCTGGTGCGCTTTAGTGATTTTTTTCTATCAAAAATATGTTTTTTGAAAAGAAAAATGGTCTCAATGTTTTTGATTTTAATTTTGGGACGGGTGAGACGGGTCTTGTTATAATATCATGTGACATTAACTGTTAGGTCTAACTCACACCGCAAAAAGTTAGCTTTTGTTCAAGGCTTATAACAAGTTCACCTATCTTAAATTACCATGAATGTGGAACTTTTGTGTTTTTAATTTTAATTGTTTGAACTTTTGATTGAGATTGAACTTGCTGACTTTGCCTTTAGTTTTTGGATAAGAAAAGCTTTTAAACTTGCTATAAAACTATTGAAAATAGAACAGAATGAAAACAGGGATTGAAGTAGTTACTTCTGGTTGATATTGTTGCTCCGTGTTTGCCTTTAGTTAATGCATTCTGATCTCTTTCTCTACCATAGTTGCATTCACATGTTCACGAATAGCCAAAGGCAAGAAGAACGCACTGGAAAATATGGAACTCCGAGGGTGGAATACCTTCAGGTTAGTCCTCCTTACTTGAGATATAGTTCATAGAAAGCAGATTGGAATAACAAAACTTTATCTGCTGAAGTTAAGCAAACATTACTTGTACATGAAATTTTGGATAAGCAAGAAACTTGTTTGCGTATTTCACTTATCTATACTTACATTCTTGTTCAGCAATTGGTGACTCAGTTTCAGAATGCATCTTCTGAAGGTATGCTTAGAGTTCTCTGCAACTATTTTGTAATGTCCAAGCAATATATGTGACTCCAATATATTATTGTTGTTTCAGAGACAAAAGAGAAGATTGTTGCTAATTTGGCCAACTTTGCATATGATCCTTACAACTTTACGTTCTTGCGTCAAGTTAAGAAACTTCTTAATGAGTGCTTCGAGTATTGTAATCATCGAATTTTCCTGGTTTCTTGCCTAAACATATCTTGTGATGTTAAACAGCTTAATGTAATAGAGCTTTTCCTCGACTGTTTAACTGAGCCTAATGAGAAGCTTGTGGAATTTGGGATTGGAGGAATCTGCAATGCGTGTGCTGGTAAGATATAAGCTTTTTGTAATAAACTGCTCCAAGAATTACCTCTTCTCCATGTCAGTTGATGCATTTATGACTTGCAGATCCAGCAAATGCTGCTCTTGTCACTCAAAATGACGGTATCCCCCTCATCGTCCAGTGTTTGTCAAGTCCTGTTAGGAGCACTGTAAGCACGTTAACAAACATTTTGTGGTGTTTCTAGTTTATAAGTGCTTTGATCATCGCATGGTACTTATATGAGCATAGCGCGGGAACACTTCAATCTTGCTGCTGTAAATTGAACTCGTAGAATACCATCATCTGTCAATCTTGTTCATAAATTTGAGTAGGGCTTATACAATGTGCTTATTGTTAATAGTTGGTCTTGTGACTTTCTGCAACTTTAGGCAGCACGAGGAGTAAAATGGTGAAGACTTGTATCTTTTTAGTATTTGTGGTCTAGTCTTGGACTGTTCTTTTCGGTGCGGGTTGTTTTTACTTCTCAAACTCAACTTCAATATTGAAGAGACACATCTGCAACTTCTCAGGAACATGACTCTAAATAAGTAGATATCGAGATTGAGAATTAGGATAGAATGTTAGTAGAAAGTCGACAGGTGTTTAGGTTCTCTCATATTACTTTAGTCTCCTACTTTCTTAGGGTTCACTTTTATTATTACATGTTCTAGTCTCCTATTTTCTTAGAGTTCAATTCTATTATTACATGTTTCTTTTCCTTTATAGTAGGGGTAAGATTGTGTACGCTCCACTCTCCTCAAAGCCGACTTATAATGATACGGAGTTCGATTTTGCAGGTAAATTATGCTCTAGGAGCTTTGTATTATCTTTGCAATGCATCAAACAAGGAAAAGATCTTAAAACCAGAGGTAATTGATGCAATAAAGAGTTATGCAGCTGCAAGTGAAGTTAGTACAAGCTTCAGTAACTTGGCCCAGGCTTTCTTAGATAAACATGTTCCCCAAGCTTATTGAAATGGATGAAAATAAAATTACTGTTGAAAATCAATGCTACTAACATCTTTAAAAGCATGGAATTGGAAAATTATTGGTCAGGTTTAGGGGATTGAAATATAAATATTTTGTTAAACCTGTTTTGATAGGCTCTTTCTTAAATCGATAAACGTCATTGTAGTTAAACCTCACTCGTAAAATTGTACTGGTATGGTATTTTAACTATTGTAATATTTATCACAAGAAACTTCACAATGTTTTCTTCCCAATCTCACAAATGAAACATTTACATTTTGACAAAGACAAGTGTCTCAAAAATGACAAACAAGAAACCAACAAAAATATGTATATAATATATAATTGAAATATAACAAAGTCCCACAATCATCTCACATCCAACACTCCCAAACAAAAGCCAACTCATACCCTAAGAAATCAAATAAATAAAATCCAAAACAAGACATTATACAAAAACGAAAGAAAGTAAAAACACAAAATAGCTTTTCTTCTTTTTTTTATTAAGAAAATAACGTAAACTTTATAGTCTTTTTTTTTTCACTTTTGAGGACTGGTTTTCACAACAGTAACAGGACATGTTGCATTTTGCACCACATAGTTACTGACACTTCCAAGTAACACCCTGCAAATATTAAACAGTCACAAATTAACCCCACATATTGTTTTTAAAAAATTAAAACTTAAATAAGTAACATTTCACTAAACTCATTTTAGCTCATTTAATATTTATTCGCCCAATTTGAGTTTATTATACTCATCCATTTATTAACTCAATTCATTTTGATCGATCTAAATTTATACTTTCGTGTTTACCTTTTAAGAACTCCTAAGCCTCTGCCTCCAATTACAAGTGAATCAAGTTTGAGACTTTCAGCAGCATCACACAGTTTCTCTCTTGCATCTCCCCAATACACCTTTGACACCACTGTCACCTGTTTATTATCCCGCAAATTATTAATTAAACAATACTTATTCTTAGTATACAACAGAAAAAAAATTTAAATCAGGTAATTGATTCATAAAATAAATAAAAAATAAAATAAAATAGAAGTTCAAAAGGACACGTGTCGTTGATTAAATCATCATGAAAGAAGTAGAAGAAGCAAAGAGCAAGAGAAACTACTACTAATATGGTAACAATAGATCGTCTGCCTCACGCTCCTTAATTTGATATAATACCTATATTAAACACTAAATTTGATTTTAAATTTTAACTTTGACTTTTAACTTTCGTAACGTAAAAACAGAAACTTTAACTATTTAATTTTTAAATAAATAAACACATGAGTCTTACATGACAAAATAAACATAGAATACTACTATGTAGGACAAAAAAAAAGACACGTAGAATATGTGTGTCTATTAATTCAAATTTATGTGTCTATTTGTGCACATCTAAAATTGAAAGACATAAATGTAATTTAAAGTAGAGTTAAAAAGAATATTTATGTATTATGCCCTTAATTTTAGGTGTAAACACAATAAATTATTTTATGCATCGAACTGTCCATAAAAGCAAAGAGAAAGAACAAAGAAATAAGAAGAGTAAATTATAATTATTTACCTTTTTGAGTTTGGCAACAGGCTCAAGCATATCAATAACCTCTTTGTCAGGATTTAATCCATAGTACTTAGACACATTAATCTGTTTAAATTCATCCAAAGGTATCAAAGCTGCATCAAACAATAAAAAAAATCATCAATATATATGTCTAATTAATTAAAATGAATAACTCATAAATAAAATCCGAAAAAAATCTACACAACCTCATGAAAATAGAGAGATTGACAAAAATTAATCTAACTACAACAAACAACAACATAGGTGAAATCTTAAAAGGCTGATGTGTATACACTTTAAAAAACTGTTTTCGATAGATCTTCGACTTGAAAAATAATTGATTAGAATGAAATAAACAAAACAAAAAAGAAAGACTTACGTGATCCAGTATCTTCAAAGAGTTGTTTACTAGTTGGTTCAACTTTAGAAGAAACAACATGAATAATAATAATTGTGTCACCTTCTTCAATTAAATTATCAATTGCCCATTTTAGAGCTATTTTGCTTGTTGCTGAATAATCCATTCCAATTCCTATTATACGTGCTTTCCCCATATGTTTTTTTTTTTGAAAAAAAAATCTTAATTTTTTCTCTTTGATTTATTTTCTCTCTCTATGTGTATATATGTTAGTTTTGTGGTGTTTCTGTATTTATATTAGTTTTGGGGTTTGGATTTCTAATAATCCAAATGAGAAGAAGTTCTTGAAGGACCTAGAAGGTGGAAGACCTTTATGTTTCTTAATAAATTATTACTTAAAAAAAGGGAAAAGATATAATTTTGTCTTTGTTAATTGATTCGAAATTTGAATTTACAATTATGGGGCGTTACTGCTGATTATTTAAGTGTTTGTATTTTAATTATTTGAAAGTTAAATAATTTAAATTTAATTAAAAATTTGTTTTGTAAAATTTTTAATTTTTAAAAGAAAGTTTATATATTGAAAATTAAGTAATTTAAGTTTAATAAAGTTTGACCATGGAATTTTTAGATTTTTTTTAAAATAAAATTTTCATATTTATAAATTACATAAAAATATTAAAAGTCACAGTAAATAATAATTTAAAATATTTAAAAAATATATAAAAAATTTATAAAAAATAAAAGTATTTGAATTTTAAAATTTGAAATGTGTCACAAAAAGAATAACTAAAATGAAATATTTAAGAAAGATAAATGAAACATCTAATTTGTATAAGTAATACTCAATATATGTACTAGAGGTAGTATGTAGTATAAAGACCATAAGAAATGTAACATTTTGTTTTTATTTTTCTTGATTTTTCGCTCCAAAATTTTACTCCATATTTTAATTTAAAACTAGTTAAAAAGCTAAGAAAACATGTTATTCTTTGTATTAAAAGTTTATTCATTAATACATAAAACTCTCGAATTCAAATTTCTAATAAAATATAATCAATTATATTCATTTTACCATAATTATTAGATAATTATTTTATTATTTGTAAGGCAAGAAACATAATGATTTGAAAAGAAAAAAAAAAGGTAAGGAATATACACCGTGCTTTTATTATGTCTTTAATGAGATGACAAGGGAATATTGCTAAAAAGAAAAAAAGAAGTTGCCCCAATCTTAAATAATGTCATTTTCATCCTCTTTAAAGTTTTTAATTTCCTTTTTTGTATAATTAATATAAACTCACACAATTTCTAAATTAGTTGTGTGATATCAAAAAATAATTAGAGAATTATTTTCTACTTTTTATGTTCTAAAATAAATATAATGAGTAAATTATTTTAATTTTCTTGTAAGAATATAACATATGTATATATTTATGTTTAACCAAGAAAAGCAAGTTAGTGGATTCTCATCGAAACTTCTAACATACTTATTTGATTTTGAATCATAACTAATAACAGATAGTATTAAATAAATAGTATTAAATAATATTAGTATTTACTGTGTACTAATCCTAGTCCTATTAGAATTAGTACTCCTTATACCTAGTCCTGTTAGGATTAGTACTCCTTCCTATATCTCCTATATATATCTCCCTTATTAGGTTAACACTTCAATACAATCAATATTCCTTCATGGTATCAAGAGCCAGAAAACCTAGATCTTCTTTTCTCTGGGTTTTTTTTCTCTTTAGGACACCGATCGTTCCCTCTCTTCTCTTGGGCGGCGGCAGCCATGACAACCGAGGTGGATCCTCTCGATTTACTTCCTTCTGGCGTTAAACTCCTTCTCATGCATCTTCATGCCCTGATTCCTAAAAAATTATCAGACATAAATTATCCTACATGGAAAATCACCGTTCTTACAGCCCTTGAGACCAATTACCTTCTCAAATACGTTGATGGAAGCACAGAACCGCTGCCGGCCGCCACAATTACCAAAGGCACGAAAACTATGGCGGAGTATTTAGACGAGGTCTCCACCATCATCACAGCCCTCGACACCATGAACGAAATCATTCCCGAAAAAGATCTCGTCTTGTGCGTCGTTCGGGGGCTCCCATCAGCTTACTCCTTCATTAAACAGGCGGTTCGCATCAGTCCAACGCCCGTTTACCTGGCTACTCTCTCCTCGTGGCTAAAAAGTGAAGAAATCAACGTGGATCTGGAGAGAAAACTTCTTCTCCGAGAAGCCACTGTTATGGAGCCGGCCACCGCCCTCACAGCAAGCCAGAACTATCGCGGGGGGTGTGGTGGCGGCCGGCAGGGGAGCCGCGGCGGCTACGGCAGAAACAGCGGAGGCCGCAGGCGCGGCGATCGGCAGGGCAGTCATTTGCCATACGAACGGCAGCAACAACAGCCTGCACTCCTTCGGCAGCGGCGGGCAGTCATCTTCCAGCGGCGGACAGGGCACTTACGAGTGAGATCGTCCAACTTGTCAAATCTGTCAGAAACAGGACACATCGCTGTTCGTTGTTGGTTTCGGTATGAGGAGAGCCGCAATAGTGATAACCGTGCCAATTATGCATCTCAAGCCGGCCCTTCCTCTGAATGACTGTTGGATACTGGGGCCAACATGCACGTTACTTCTGATCTATCCAAGCTTAACACTCCAAATCCATATCATGGCTCCAATGGTATTACTGTTGGCAACGGTGAGTCCCTTAATATTTCTCACACTGGCACGGGTACCATTAAAACACCTACCGCTATCTTTCACCTAGGTAACCTTACCCACGTCCCTTCTATTAAAACCAATCTCCTTTCAGTTCACCAATTCACAAAAGACAATAATTGCTCACTCTTGTTCACCTCTAATGATTTTCAGATCCTAGACAATACCACCAAGAGGGTGATTTTTCAAGGCCACTGTGAGCATGGTCAATACGTTCTTCCTGGCACAAGTTCGTCTCCACCCAGCTT